GGGGGGGGGGGGGGGGGGGGGGGGGAAGAAAACAAAATAAAAGAGGAAAACCGCTGGCAATTTTTCACTAGCTTTTTAAAGCGCGGCTTAGGTACTCGTGGAGCGAGTTTGAATCGATTTTTCCAAAGGGGGCACAGGCAGGAATGTGGGGAGGGGGATGAGGAGGGCGAGGGGAAAGAGGAGGAAGAAGAAGAGGAGGAGGAAGGGGGCAGGGGCCCATTTTTCTGTCGTCTTCTTGTACCAAGCGGCGCAAACTGTACCTACCTCCAGCTGTTTTGCTGTCGAGCACGGTTGTCGCTTGAAGGCCGAGTTTAGATTGGAATCTGAAATTTCGATACCTTCACACACGGCGATTCCCTCCTCCCCCCCCATTTTTTTTTTCTTCTCCCTTCCCTCCGTCGCGTCGAGCAAACGCTCGTGAAGTTTCGCGGGCGAACAGAGGTGCATGCATCTGCATGAGCCAAGAATAAATCAGGATGCGAAATCCGAATGGAGATTTCTTGCCGCGAGAGAAACGGATACGAAGATCTATGCTTCGGTAGGAGCGCTTCTACCTACGATTTTTACGGATCGAGATTCTTAATCCGTCCGAGATATAGAGAGAGAGAGATAGAGAGAGAGAGAGAGAGAGAGAGAGAAAGTGAGAGAGAACGAGAGAGAAACAGGTGATAAAGCACGATGAATCGCTGTTAACGTAAATACATCCGCGTTCGGAGGAATATTAAAGCGAGGAAATAAACGTTCGTCGACGGGGGGGACGAGCAGGGGTGGGTAGCGGCATCTCCATAGCGGGCGCCCTACGTTGCTCGCGGCCGCATTTATTTCGTCCACTTTCTTCCGCGATCTATCGCGCCGCGAAATCGCGATACTGTCCCTGACTTTCGTCACGTAAAATCACAGGGCGTAGCGTACTGGCTTGCAGATACAATCGATGTAGAGCGCGGGCTTACTGACACTTCGCATGCTCGCAAAATGTAAGCTCAATACGTTCCTTTTGTTTTGCTCCCGTAATTTCCCTCGCGAAATCGAAGTTCTGCCGCTGATTATACCTATTCTTAGACTGCCACGAATCCTTGGCATGTGTACGCGGTAATTTGCTTTTGGCAGTAAGGGTAATTCTCATCATTCGATAATTCGCGAGCGTAGTCATATTAACATTCCTCGGTATATTTTACACGTTAGACTTTCTCTCTCTCTCTCTCTCTCTCTCTCTCTCTGCAAATTGGATTATTTGAAATTTTTCCTTCACACAAGCGAAATACATATCGCGTTGTTTCATTTGTGCGTTTGCGATAGAACTGCTAATTGGACGTATCCAGAATCAGAATAACGTTCTTCATTTTTAATTGAATTTCCGCTCCAATTAGAACGTTTCAACATTTTTTAGCATTTTATTACACCGCTCACTGACGAGATGTGATATTTTCATAAGGGAAGACACGCGCGCGCGCGGAGAGGGAAGAAAAACCGGCCTTGTCCGTTATCAATCAGCCGCGGTGCTGAACTCTCACAGAGGATTAATTACATTTTCTAAATAGTATCTGCGGGGATGCGTGAAATCAGCCCCCCGGCAGGCAGCTGCCACTGCCGCCGCCGCATAAATGCACGCGGCTTAATGTTACTGGCTCACCGATACAATCGATCAAGACTGCGGAGATTGACGCGACTTCACCTCTAGCTCACAGCGACGCCCGACTTCGAAGGGTATCGGTGCTTGCGATATTATCGTCATGCATCTATCGACCGGCGAGTTTAACGGAGCGCAAGGTCGCAGGACTCGTGGTAGCTGCCGCGCGCGATCGCAGAGATATGCGTTATTATTGTTCGCGTCGGTGCATCGTGAAACGTCGGACGATGATGGAAACTCGTAAAACAGCTCAGTTAGGACGAGAGGGCGAGGTCGTTAAAAGTGTAATAAACTTGGGCGAAGCCGGTTGATAAAGCGAAATATTCCGGATTTCCTTCTATTGCAACTTCTACGGATTTGATTATGTCTATTTATCGTCAGAACACCGACGTTTCCCGGGCGCGCAGCGGCGGCTCTCCTTCCGGTTTAATAATTCACGCTTTTTATAAATTGCATTACCGACGACGCTAAATGGTACGTCGCGCACGTGCGAATCTTCTGCGTAAATATGTTATACTGTTTTCAGAACGCATGTGGCGTATTTCAGTCGTTTAAATATTTCGCGCGACGTAAAAGCTTTTTCGACCGCTATTCTTCGGCTGATGTTTTCGCAGCTGCGCGTAAAACAAGGAATATTAAATATCTCTTTGCGCCGGCGAGAAGATATTTAACGTCGCGTTCGGGTACTTTCTCCTTTATAAGGGTGAATGACGAGCGTGCGCACGTTCTTGAGATATTTTCCCCAACGCCAACGCGTACGTTATGAAATTGTATTTAAAAATTGACGAGGCACTTCTTTAGTCAGACTCAAATGGAAGGAGGAACGGGCGGTGCGTTGGGAATTTTTATGAATCAAAGATCGGATTAGTTCACCTTCTTGGCGGATTGTTGGTGACATCACGCCATTATATTATCGTTCGTATAACACTAGCAGAACGGTAAGTCGCCTTTAATGAGCGAGATTAAGAGGACTTACGAGATCTCCCCGAAGACTGAGAACGCTTCCCTCAGGGTTTGTGTCTCGATCTCCGGACTCAGGTCCCCGACGAATATGTGATAGTGTTCTGAAACAGAAACGTCGAAAGACAATTAGATGCATCCTGCAAAACAGAAGGTGGAAAAGCACGATAAACCTGTGCGAATGTCGAGAGTAAAAATGTTGACGGTGTAATTCGGTGATCTTTGCGCTCCGTGTGATTTGCTCGCTCGTTTAAAACTGGCCGTGTTCCTTTCAACGGCACAAATTGAAGAAGCGGACACACGAGTTTGCAGAACGGGCTCTGAAGGAGGCCCGATTTTATGCAATATCATTGTACGAAATCGATGTCTGCAAGCGTGACGTGGCGCGAACAAACAACGTCTAACCACTCTCTGAGAATATCTCTTCATTAAATTCTTAAAGGATACATTCTTTCATTAGTAACGTTACATTTCGGTCTAAAATACCCGGAATGCAAAGGAAACGAAACTTCCCCTGGAAAATTACTCTTAGCGCGCGAGAGAGCGCTACTCAGATAATCGAAGCTCTTTCATAATACACAAGATACGCGACCCCTAAGTTAGACACTTCAAAATAACTCGACGGCGAATAGAGGGGGGCGGGAGGGGGACGCTGACGGCTGCGCGATTGTAATTGAATTACTCCCCAACATGAATGCACGCCGGCCAGTTAGCGGTAATAAATAATTATTAATCGCGGCTATTTTTGAGCAAACCGCCGCCGACCGTGGAATATGTGAAACGGGGAATAATTATTAACAATTAATTATTAATCACCCGCCATTTTGCGCGAGCGATACCGCGTGTGGCGTGGAATATGCGAGTTTCAGAAAATAACGAACAAATTCTAAACGACCGCGGGACCTTTCGATAGAGGCGTCCGATAATTGGCAGCGCGACGCGATTAGTTTCCCCGCGGGCGGGGGGAGGGGGGCTCGTGACGACCGACGCTTAATTACAGGATAACGTGACGCCAAGAGTTACATCGCGAAAACACGCGTTTACCGTATCGGAAATGTCACCGTCGTTCCCGTCTCCTCCTCGTCGCACGGCGACGCTGTTATATTCCGCGAGATTGAATTGTAAACGCGCCGTATATAACACGAGGGATGCGCCTCGCATTCCTCCGCCGACTCGAATTGAAAACGCGACTGCTATGGGAATTACGAACATCTTTAATACGAAGTTACGCTATTCTCGCGAGAGGAGGTGCGCGCGATATTTGCGCTCCCTAATTAAGTAAGGTAAGGCGCGGGGTGAGATCGCCGGTTCGTTACAATGGCTACTCGCCGCGCGTGTTCCTCCACGTACGCTGAATATGCATCGCATTTCTGCCCGTTCGTTTACCTCATCTCTAATTACGACACACTCGGGCCCCGCCTTTTAAGATGCGCGCTCTTCTTTATTTATCGCTCCGCCGACGCGCTAATTTGTCGATTACGCGCATCGAGCGCATCTCTCCCTCTCCTCTCTTAATTACACGCGCCGTTTTCGCGTTACGTTTTTTTCCCCGGGCTTCCACCCACTCGGGCAGCCTCGCGCGAAAAGCCCGTCGTCGCTCGTCGCGCGATTCCACGATCAGATAGAGCCGGTCGGATGAGTGCGGTGGTGAAACGGTGTGCGAAGGTAAGCTTTCGGAGGGGGATAAATTATCGATTCGCACACAGTCGTGCAGTCGAGTGCGAGTCCGCGGCACAGCGTTGCGGTACAGCCTCGCTCGCATCGGCTCGATAAAATATGCTCCTTTTCTCTGCTCTCTCGTTTCACTTTTCCCAGCCAGGCAACCTCTATCCATCTACCTACCTACTCACATCCCCCATCCCGACCCGATACGGGTTTCTTCCACGCTGATTCGCAGGAATAGATCAAGACGAGTAGTCGAAAATCGAGTTACCGCCGGAAGGTCTCTAGCTGGGGCATCGGTTACACCGAATGGAAAGTATAGAACGGTGAAATAGGTGCGCGGGACGTGTCGAAAACGGAGGGCGGTCTGATTACGATCGCTCCGATGGCCTATCCTTGGCCCGCCGGAAGTTCCGGTGGGCACACACGGCGGTCCATTCTCGTGAATTAGTCCGATCCTCATCATCTTCTTTTCCACCTCCCCCTCGACACCGCATCGCGATGGGATCTTGGCGCTATTATGATATCAACAGGAAATTGACAGGAGTTTATTCCCGGCCGCGGACTCGTCCTGGGATTCGCGCGCGATTACGGTTGTCCCGTATATATCAGCTCGGCTTTTTGGCAAGGACCCCGGCGGTGTTCCGAATTTAAGGTCGATTATTTCGATGAGATCGCCGGTGCTCGTTTTGAAATCGACGCTTACACATACACACACGCGTAGGAAAACGAGCGTCTCGTTTGCTCTCGATCACTCGAAAACAATACCGCCGGTGTGTGCCTTTGATATACTCTGATATAATTCGAGCAGTGAAATATTTACAAATTGGTAATTGCGAACTTGCGCCTGGTGATTTTGCTCGCGCGACCTTTGCATTACCGATCGCGGCGGGGATGTTTTCATTAAGCGAATATTGTTGAAACCGGCTCCCGTGAAACGCGCCCCCGCACTTGACACGATTCTTTTCATTCGCGCGCGCATTTCTTGGTGGATTAAATTATCCGTGCATTTTCCCCGTCTGCTTGAATCTCCGAGCGAGCATCGCGCATTCATACAACACGGAGCGAGCAGAAAATATCGCGGCTCTTTTCCGTGAATCAAGAAAGTCCAGATATCCATAATTTCGCGGGAGGAAACGTCTTGCGTGACGCGAGTGCTCTCCCTCGGGGCCGGTTTGCTTTCAGCGAAATTTCGCGCAATCCATAGAACTCGATATCATCGTCCGCCGGTAAATAGTTGGCTAGATCCGATTTCGTAGGTTGGAAAGGTTTGTTGAAATATGGCCCGAGTGAATGCAGAAAGGGCGTAGCATGAAAAAGATGCCGGCATTAAAGGATCTCGGACGATGACGTCACGCGTCACGGTTCGCCCCCACCACCTGCTCTGGTGGTTAAAACGTGGCCCACGGTTTTCAATAAAGTGGGACTAATGGAGCGCCATTTATTATTGCGTCTCTCGCTCCAGCCCACCCTCTGTGTCTCTCGCATTTTCACTTCCGTAGGCCGACAGCAATGGCGCGGCGGTTTCACTCGCGTGCGGGATCGAGCGTTATTTTCATCATCGTCAACGGCTAGCGGTCACGGCGCGGTAGTTGCGCGACAGTCGGGCATAAACATCATTATTACCACCGTCATCGTCATGATCGTGGCATATTGCCACATCGAAATGCCGATGTATTATGAAATAAGGCCACTAAAACTGCGATGCGAGCAGCATCCACCACGTGCTATACGTGAGCGCATATGCACGTTGCATGTTTACGACGTGTGTATGCGAGTTGTACGTGGGAGGACACGTTAGCGTGAAAATATGCTGGAAAATACGGGCTAATAATAAAGAAAGGTCGTTTAATTTTATATATGTAGCGTGTCGCTCGATTCCCCTTGCGAAATAAATTCCTCGTTTAATGCCATACCGTATACCCGGTCAGGATCCTTTGTGCACCTCGAACGCACACACGGGGAGGATCGCCTCCTCTCTGTGAGTCAGCCGTTCAACGTTCCGGGTTAGCCGATTTTCAGCGATGTATTATGCGCGAGGTGTGTTTATATCGTATAATTTGAGCGTTCCACCCTCTTAGAAAGATAACAGGGGGGATACACGCGCATGGGGATGCGGATACGGTCTACGTTATCCTCGCGCGAATCTCCTGAAATTACAGTTAACTTGATATCGGAAACTCATTGCTAAAATGAATTGTAATTTCCGATTGATAAATGAAATTTATTCGATTGATTTTAATCGGGGAATCCGGATGAATCTTAAATCAAGTTATTATTGAATCAAGCAGCCAGCGAGTTTGAATTATTCCGCTGTGTTCCGCGGTCAGACCCATTCGCGCGCTATACGTACACACAGCTTCTCCTTTAGAACACAATCTCGGTCGTTCCTTCTACAATGACCGGCTGTACAATCCTTGATTGCGCGGCAGAGCGAGGGAGAAGTATTTCGGCTTGAAATAATATAAAAAAGTATTCAACCGAGAGAAATACAAATCGCACGAATTCACAGGGCGCTGAAAAACGCGCCGCTATGAGGCGAAGGAGGGCGAAATAATTATTTCTTATAAAACGCGCAATCCATAACTCTTTCTTTCTCTCTTCCTTCCTCGCGCGATTTGAATATATCTGCGCGGGTTGTGTCGCGTCACGTTTCTCGCGTGACGATTTCGCGCGGGGTCACACGAGAACCACGGCCGGAGGGGGGGGGGGGGGGGGGCGGGAATGGATCCCCNGATCCCCTCGACAGTTTCGAAGGTAAAAGATGGAGAGAAAATAGGAAAGAAACGAATACGGGCGTGGGGCCGGGGCACGGCGGCGAGATCCATTCAAGCGGGACAATGCGGGGGTGGACATAGAAAAGTCCGGGCCACGCCGTAGATCAAGAATCGAGCGTGGATGGCCCGTAGATCAAGGGTTTCCTTAATTTCGCGGGACAACGGTGAAATGTTGATTTACCGTCCCTCGAAACGGGCCGGTGCGGCTTGCACGCACCCCCCGTGCAAGGGAGAAAATATGCCCTGCGGCCGGGGATGGCGTCACCGCCGCCAATGGAGACCTCTATTAATTCTCCGAGCGGCGAAAACCTAGCGGGGTGAACACAATCGAATCTCGGTTTGGATGGTCGCTCCCAGAACTGCTGGTACACTCGCACACACACACACGTGCTGTGCCCCGTAGTAAGACTCTCAACTCGGGCCGGCTTGAACTCCGGCAAATATGAGTCACTAGTCGATCAGCTGACGCGAACCCGGCCCGGACATGTCCGCTGTGTCATCCTATGTGTTTCCTCTAGCGCGCCTCGTTTTCGAATTATATCGTCGAGGGTTAGCGATGCTCGCCGAAATTCGAGTAGGCGCCCGAACCGAACAACGTTCTCGGACGGTAATGGCCGGGCAATTCTAGACGGTGTAATACCGTTTAATAATATTTTAGACCGGCT